GCTGTTTGCCCTCCGCCTGCGGCACTGGCGTCCAGGGCTGCCAGGAGGAGGCGGAGGGGGCTTTGCACAGCGCTCGCCTCTCCTCCGCCTGCCTCTGCTGGGAGGGGGCCGCCGAGCCCCCGGGCCTGACCATGGAGGTGGATCTCATGAAGGACATCTCCTGCAAGGACAGACACACAGTGAGCGCTGGCTGGGCTTGGGTTTCCCTGTGTGCAACTGCTGCGAGTGATCTGCAGAGCCCTGGGGCCCTTTACACGCTCTGCAGAAAGGGGAAAAAAAAAAAAAACAAACAAAAAAAAACCCAAAAAACCCAAAGCAAAATGAAAGTCTGAATTCAACAGCCCTTTGCCACCAGGTAGCCTCTCGCTCGTGCCTCGGAGCGGAGCGGGGTTCACGCAGGTCCAGCCCGGGGGCTGAATCTCACTTCGCCGTCTTTTTCAAGGAAACTTTTCCCGCGGTTGGCAAACGAACCCGGGGAGGGCAGGGACCTCACCCTGGGAACGGGCTAGCCGAGCGCTTACCCGGGCCACCAAATACACATCTTGTACATTGCCGTGATCTTCATTTGGCACTAACTATGAAGCAGAAGGGACATGACCTACCCTCGGGCGGGTTTTCAGGGCCTGGACTGCCCCCGTGATCACTCGGATCCAGCTGTGCATGTCCTCCGGGCTGTCTGCCTGCAACACACGCCAGCCCCGGTCAGGCTTTGCCTTCCGCACACCCCCGGTGCGGCCGGGCCACATCCCTGCCGCAGGGAAGCGTGGACGCACAGACGGACGGGCTACCACCCTTCCCAGGGTATTTGCTACTAATTTATTAGTATTATTATTTGCTACTACCCCAGCTCCCCCCGCAGAAGGGGAGCCACTCTCCACACGGCAGCATTTTCATATCAGGAATAGATAAAGCATTTAAGGAAAAAATGCTCCTCGGATCACCCTGTGCTGCTGCCTCGGCTCCTTCCTCTCGCACAAACAGCCACCATCAGAAATAAGCCCGAGGGGAGAAGTGAAACCGCCCCGCAGCTCTCCCGCGCCGGGCGAAGCTCCTACAGACTCCTGCGGCGGTGTCGGCCGCCGTGCCGCACCGCGGGCGAACAGCCCCTTCGCAGGAGCTGAACTGACCGCGCAGCAAAGCGAACGCGCCCCGGGCGCCTCACCTGGATGTAGAAGGTCCTGGAGCTGGTTATGATTTCGAAGAGGTTGTCCCGCATCAGGAGGTCACTAGGAACAGCAAGAGAGAGACGGTCGCTACCCAGCAGTCAGCGTGGATGGAAAAACATCCATATTTGCCCTCATCTCTGAGTGTGCTGGGGAAAACGTCCTCAAGGCCAACCTGGGACCTCATGGGGATTTTGAGAAGACGAGCCCAGCTCCCCAGAGACCACCGTCTTCAGCTGCACACACTCGGCTCCTGCCGCCTGCAGGCAAACCCCCGCCACTCCCAGACCCGTAACCCACCTCATTTACAGTCCATTTTAATTGTGAACTTCCTATTGCTTCTTAAGAACAAACGATTCAAAGATATATTAAACTATATTTTCACTTTAGCCAAAGAGCTTTGTTTTCTTAGTTCATTTTTCATTGCAAGTCCTCAAGTCACTTGGATTTTATCAGCATCGGCTGCAATAGACTGTTCCCGAGAGGCTGTGCAGCCAGCTGTGCAGCCAGCTGTGCTCGTTTAAGGAAGACGCCTGTCTGCGGCTCTGTGAACACCTTTGTTCTTCCGCCACACGCGCAGGGCCTCGGCCTCCTTAACCCGCGGAGACAGGAGGAGGACGCCTGTCCAACACCTCCCCGAAGGAGGGAGCCGAGTTCCCTTCCTGCCCTCCTCCGGGAGCTGCTCCCAGCAGCAGCCGCAGTCCCCGTCGGCTGCTCCGGCCCCGGCACAACCTGGGGCTCCGGCGGGAGCTGCGGTCTGGGGAAACAGGGACGGGAGCATTACCCAGACTTGACGAGGCACTCGTGGGTCTTGCAGACGTCCCTCAGGAGAATGGAACGCAAGGGCTCCTTGTCCTGCGGAGATGAGAGGAGACGATGACGGGCTTGGCTGGCGCCGGGGGCCGGCAGTGCCGGGATGTGCCTCCCATGGAGCCCCCGCGCCAGCACGGGAGCGCGGCAGCCCCTCAGCCAGGCCCAGGCGGGGGCTGCTCACCTGCTCACTCTTGTAGTAACTGATGGAAAATTCATCCAGAACGAAGTACCGGCGCTTCCAGCTCTTCCTCTGGAAAAGAGAGGAGGGAATGGCTCAGCGCGGGTGGGCGGCCGCGTCGCTGCCCTCCCCTCCGTCCCCCCCGTTCTGCAAGCGGAGAGCACAGAGTTAGCGGGGGGGCCAGAACGACACCTGAGCGGGATGGAACGCGACCCGAAGCAAGCCCCGAGCACAGCGCTGCGTGCCATGGGCTAATCGCGACGCCATGGGGTAATCGGACACGAGACGGGGAATCAACCAGAGTCGAGAGCTGATTTTATCTCATTGCATACGGCTTTCCAGACCGCTGCCTGAGTACTATTTGCCCTTTTGGCACCCACATATTGAAAACAACGTTAAGAAATTGGAAAGGCTACAGAAAAGCCACAGAAGCAGCGCGAGGGCTGAGGAAAAATCCCTTGCAGCAGGGGCGTTAAAGGACCCGTCTGCCCGCCTTCGCAAGCACCGAGAGGTGACTCGACCGCACCGCAGACCTTCTCGGGGAAACGCAGCGAGCGAGGAGCTCTTTCATCTGGCAGAGGGAGGCAGAACAAAAACCACCAGCTGGAAGCTGGAGCCCGACAGACCCAAGTTAGAAAGCAGGGATGCTCCGCAACTGGAGAGGGACAAATATCATGGGAATAAACCGCTCAGGAGAGCCGAAGGTCCCCGCTCCACATCTTCACAGCCAAATCCTCCCAAAAGAAACTGTGATGTTTGGAGCTCAGGTAGAAAAGTGTAGCTTCCCCTGTCCCCAGGCTGTCCCTCCCCGGGCGCAGTGCTCAGCGCTGTGAGCACCGATGGGCTGCAGAGCGCACGCAGCACCCGTCCCCTGGCCCACCCCGAGCGCTGCCCCGCTCATCCCTGCGCTGCCGCTGGCATCACCCCGCTCTCCCCGACACCGTCCCGTCCCCTCCCTTCCCCCTCGGCAGTGCAGAGGATGGTTGAGATGAAACATCTGCACTCATCTCCTTCCCCCGTCCCTCCAACCCCTTCCTCCAGCTCCGTGCTGAGGTTTGAGAATTGCCATGGCAGCCGGGGTGGCTCTCGCCGCCACCAGCCTTATATGGCACCCGCGCAGTGCGACTGCCGCTGCGGTTAACCAGCGACCTGCCCGCGCTGCTCCTTCCAGCACCTTCGAGAGGCTGCTTTGGCTTTTTCGGGGCAGAGGCAAGCAG